CAGGATTTTTCCCAGAGGTTGCACTGGGAAAGTGCCCAGAGCCACCATTTTTTCCCACAGCAGCATGAGGCGAGTGCCCATAGCTGGTGCTTTTCCCTGAGCCAGTGTGGGGATTTTGGCAGCAGTTGTTTTCCCCTGTTGCTGCAGAGATGAGTGCTGGCTGCAGACACTCTCCATGTGCAGCTGCTGGGAAAAGTGGCAATGGCAGCAGCTGGATTCTTGCACCCATCCTATGTGCGCCTGCCCACCTCAATCCCAAACTGGGTCAATCTGGCTACTGAAGGCCCCACCATCCACAGACTGGATCAAATGGCTCCACAGGCCAAATTTGACCCATGGGCTATAGGTTGCCAACCCCTACCCTGGGCAGTCTATTCCACTATCTCCTTGTTCTAACAGTGAAGTTTTTCTTGATATACAAGCTAAACCTACTTTCTGAAACTTGTACCACTGGTCCATGCCCTACTCTCTGCAGCAACAGAGAAAAGGTGTTCTCCCTCTTCTTTATGGCAGTCTTTCAGATATCTGAAAACTACTATCATGTCCTCTCTTAATTCCTTCCACAAGCTGAACATGCCTACTTTCTCCAACCACTCTCTCTTCATATGACTTATCTTCTAAGGCCTTTATCATTTTAGTTGCCTACCTCTACATCCTCTCTAACTTTTCCACACCCTTTAAAAATGTTAAGCCCAAAACTGTACACAACACTCCAGATGAGGCCTAACCAGTGCTGAGTAACAGACTCTATTCACCTCCTGAATCTTGCATCTAAGGCTCCTATTGATACAGCCCAAAAATCACATTTGCCTTTTGTATCACTGCATCACCTTACAGATTCATATTGAGTCTATGATCCACCAAGACTCCCAGAACCTTTTCCATAGTGTTGTATCCAGGCAGGTGCCTCCCATTTTGTTGTTGGGTTTTTTTGTTATTATGCTTCCCAAGACATCAAAATTAAGATAGGTAGGGCTGCTTCAGCCCTTGCATTTTTGGGTTCCCAGCAGGCTGAATCGTCCAAGCATTGCCCAAGGATTCTGCCTCAG